ATGGCCGTAACACCAACCTACCTTGAATGGTGGTTATGCAAATGAGCAAGTTACCTGACCCTCACAAGGAAGTCAGAGGAAAGCAGGATCATCACCACCATCTACACATAAAATGTCCTTTCGAAGATCTACCAGTGATGGCCAATCTTGTCTAGACAGGCCAATCTGCATTCATATCGGAAATAAACCCACTGATAATTATTTTTAAAGTATTCTGAGTTGGAGTGTCACAGAAGTGTAAAAGACATATTAGTATGCCTTCTTCAACATTTTTTACTATTTTTAGGTGACACTGACAAACATAAAACCAGCCACTCTAATTTTATTTAAAGTGAATAATACAGCAGCCCTGAATTCATTCACGATGTTGTGCAACCCACTCTATCAAGCTCTAAAACATTTTTCATCACCGTGGAAGGACATGTCAGACCCACTAAGCAGCTGCCCCCACCACTGCCTCCACGTGCCCAGGCCGTGGCAAGCACAGCCAGCTTTCCAGCTCCATTCATCCACCTGTTCTGAAACTTTGTGTAAATGACATCACACCGTCCATGAGCCTTTGTGTCTGATTTCTTTCACAGTGTGCAGTACTTCCAAGGTTCGCCTATGTTTAGCAGTATTCATTAATTTTTACGGCTGGCTAACATTCCAGTGTTCAAAAACACCATAATTTGTTTGCCATTCACCCCCTGGTGGACATGCGGCGATTATAAATAGTGCTGTGTGAATGTGGGTGGGTGCACATCTGCCTGAGTCCCTATTTTCAATCCTAAAGGCATTTGGGAATGTCTCAAGTCCTCCTTCGTTTGTGAATGATAGGTTTAGGGACATCCAATTCTTGGTGTGCTGTTTTCGTCTTTTCCCACCTTAATAATCCCACCCCACATCCTTCTGATGTCCAGGGTTTCTGACTAAAGAGCCCTCCCTTGTGCATGACAAGCTGCTTCTCTCTCGCTGCTTCTGGAATACTCTCCCAGTCCTTGGGCTTCGACAGTTTGATTGTCACGTGTCTCGGTACAGGTTTCCTTGCATTTCTCTTTCTAGGGAGTCAGTGATCTTCCTGAATGTGTATAGTCAGTTCTTTCATCAGATTTGGGGAGTTAATGGCCACTATTCCCTACAACATTCTCTCCACCCTCTCTCCCTTCCTCGTCTTTCAAGATGCCCACTGTGTGCACATTAGTATACCTGCACTACCCACAAGTCCCTTAGGGCCAGCGTATTTTCCTTCATTCTTCCACCTGCTTCTAAGATTGGATAATGCCACTTGAGATTATCTAGTTATTATGAAATTACGTAGGTTCAAGATCACTGATTCCTTCTGCCCACTCAACTTTGCTACTGAAACGCTCCAGTAAGTTTTTCATTTAATTTATTATATTTTTCAGCACCAGAATTTTTGCTTTTTGCTTCCTTTTTATAATTTCTATACCTTTATTGATATTCTGTATGTTAATACATCATTTTTCTGATCCCTTCAGCATTTTCAGTTGTTTCCTTTAGGTCCTTGGATATATTTAAGGCAGCTAATCTAGACTTTGATAAGCCCAGGATCTGGGCTTCCACAGGGACAGTTTCTGTTCATTTCCTCTGTGACTGGGCCACATGGTTTCTCTGCATGTTCTGTAATTTCTTATGGAAACCTGTACACTTTCACTATTGTAATCTGGTAACTCATGAAATCAGTCATTTCCCCCTCTTCTGGGTTTGTTTTGTTGTTCTGCACACTTTGTAGCCATGCAAGCACAGTGACTTTTCTAGACTCATTTTGTAAAGTGTGTATTCTTTGTCATGTGTGGTCTGAGAAGTCTTTCAGGCAGTATTTTGGAAAGGATTTTCTTGCACGAGGAGGAGAGGAGGCTAAGAAAGGGAGGGATTATGGGAAGGAAGAAGGCAAGAGCAAGGGAGTGAGAAATGGAGGACAGAAGAGAGAGGAGAAAGTGAGACGGGCCTCCCCCCGCTGCTGCAGACGGCCTCTGTGCTGGGGACTCCGACCCAGAGCCAGGCAGCCTACAATTCAGCCTGAGATTTCACCTCTGCTTGCACGAGCCTAGAGACTGGCCAGAGGCAAAACACTTTACTGGGGTCTTCTATGAGTGTGATCCAGCACTGGCCTTGGATGTGGCTTTCAAAACTCCCCAGTAAACACAGGCAATTTTACAGGCCCTAATTGTCCAAAGAAATCCCCTTTCCACCTTCTTCCGCTTGGCATCCGACACTCTATCCTGTGTGCTGACTATCACCGCTGGCCCAAGCTCCTGCTGCCTTTCCTTAGCCTGACAGAGGCTTGAGAAATGCCTACTGGTTTTTGGTTCCTCTGCCCTGAGTGACATTCAAGTTAGACGAAAGGAAGACAAGCATCCTGAGTCAGTCCTTCATATGTCCCTGACAGGCTGGATAGATGGCACAATTCTCCGCAAGTAAGCTCTACTGTGGTCCCTTCAGAGCCAGGGTCCAGAGTCCCCAGTCAACAATGTGGGCTGGGCCTGACTTTTCCACGTGTCTGTGGAAGAAAGGAACCCCTCCTCTGCCAGTTTCGCAGACATCACCAGGCCACTTAGCTCTGAACAATACAATTACCCCACAAAAACACATCTCTACACAGCCCAAATATCACAATTAAAAACAATGTAAAAAATAAGCCAGCAACTATACTATATTCTAAAAAAGACAGACCAAGGTTACACCTAATTTACCCGGCCATTCTGTGGACTGTTTTTTCCAAACTCAACCTTACCTCTTTTCTACAACATACTGACCCTCGACCACGCCACTACTTTCAGCCAAGCTTCTTCATAATTACTCATTCAATTAACCCACAAAAGAACAGCCTTCTTAGTAAATGGTGCTCGGACAACTAGACACTCACGGGCAAGGGAAGGCGGACCATGGCGCACCACACATGAAACATGCAGTGAAAGTGGGCCACGCATCTGAGCGTCAAAGCTAAAACTATGAAATCTCTGGAAGAAAATACAGAAGTAAATCCTTGTGACCTTGGGTTGGCAAACTGTTTCTTACCTACAATGCCAAAAGCACAAGCAACAAAAGGAAACACAGACGAGTCAGATACCAACAGCATGAAAACTTCTGTACCTTAGAGGACACCGAGAGGAAGAAAACCCACACACAGAACGAGACAAAATATTCCAAACCATATAGTGACAAGAGACTGAAGTCCAGATTACATAAAGAAACTTATAACTCAGTAATTAAAAAATAACCCAGTTAGAACAGTAAGCAGAGAATCGGAATAAACATCTCTCCAGAAAAGACACACAAACACCCAACTGGCACACGAAACGAAGCTCCACATCACTAGCTCGGGGACACGCAAACCAAACCACAGTGAGCTACTTCGCACCCACCAGGAGGCCACGGAAGAGCAGACGGCCCGTAACGGTGCAGCTGAGGACGCTGGAAGCTGGAAGCGTCGCACGCTGCCGGTGAGCGCGGAACGGTGTAGCTAGTTAGGACAACAGCTCGGCGGCTTCTCAAACACACGGTTACCATACGAGCCGGCCGTTTCACCTCTGGGTATAGTTACAAAAGAAACAACATGATGCGCACAGAAAACACTCGCATCAGACAGTCACTGCAGCATTATTGACAAGAGCCTCGAGTGGAAACAATCAAAGGTCCACATGCAGATGAAGGGGCAGACGCAACACGGAACACCGGAGTGGAACACTGTTTGGCGACAAACAGAAACAAAGCCTGAGAGATGCCACACAGCAAGGAACCTTGAACACAGGAAGCCAAGTGAGAGAAGCCCGTGACAAAAGCCCACATTCTGCATGATTCCACGTCTGTGACCTGTTCCTAAGAGGCAAATCCACGGAGACAGAAAGTAGATGGGCTGGGGCGGGGGGTTGCCGGGGGCTAGAGCAGGGTCAGAAGGGGCAGGAATAGAAGGATGGCTAATATATTCAGAGTTGCTTTCCAGAATGTTAAAGATGTTCCAAAATTAGATGGTGGTAATAGTTTTATAACTCTGTGAACCTAACAAAAACCACTGAACTGTAGACTTCAAATGGATAAACTTTGTTATATGAGATATATCCCAGTAAGCTATAGAAAAATTTTTTGGAGAACTATTTCAAATAAATAAATTCAGTGTAAAAATGTCCACATGCAAAGAGAAAATGCAAACTCCACTCTAAAACTCATTTTTTTAATCTGGCTTCAAAGTTATTATGAACATGGTCAAGCTCTCGGTGCCCTCCTTCATAGTCCTTCACTGACGTGATGACTGCCATTGTGTCATTTTCTGATCGTAATGTCTACCTACAACGGCTTCTCCCACTCTCTTCCTAATACATCGCTCTTTTCCACTGGGACTGAGAGACCAGAGAAACAAGCTCTTTAAAAACACAGAATCAGTGGCGCCAGGGTGGCTCAGTGGGTTAAAGCCTCTGTCTTCGGCTCAGGTCATGATCTCAGGGTCCTGGGATCCAGCCCCGCATCAGGCTCTCTGCTCAGCCGGGAGCCTGCTTCCACCTCCCTCTCTCTCTCTGCCTGCCTCTCTGCCTCCTTGTGATCTCTGCCTGTCAGATAAACAAGTAAAATCTTTAAAACAAAAACAAAACACAGAATCAGGCAAGGGTTAAAGCCCTGAATGAAGGTAAGGAGAAATGGGCATAAAGCAGTCACCGCTCTGGACCACGGCATTTTCTGCAGGTGCTCCGAGTCCCTTCATTCTAGGCGGCGGTGCCAGATGTCTGGTGACCTTTATGACTGTGTTTAAAATATAATCTGCAAACAGATTTCAGGCAAGGTGATACTGGGCTTCATAGAAAATGTGCATACACCAGCTGGGTTTCACATGTGTCTAAGTACCTTGAAGTCTCAGGCATTATATTATTTAAAAAATTAGTTAGATACCATACGTAACCACATGGTGCTATTTTCAGTCAGAGAATTAAGACTTTTCATTTATGTTAACTCTAAAATGATTACAGTTAGCAAATAATAAAATAGATCAAAAGACTCTTGCTAACCTCTTACTGTAAGTTTGCTGTACAGCTGTGAATTCACTTCTTTGTCTCGCTGAAAGCGCCGAAATTCATCAATTGCTTCCCTCATGATAGTAACGGCCAAAACAAATCCCTACAAGACAAAATAAAATATGGCATTTGAGAAAACTGGCTTTAACCAAAAAGTCAGGGGAATATTCTTTCACCGAGCAGGTCGACTTTACCCCCCCAATTCATGTTACTTCTAATACATATACGAAAACAAAGAAAAAAGATATAAAGTAATAATGAAAAAGTGTAAGAGAAATATAATACATCATAGGAAAAGATGAACAATTCTCCCTATTCCCCCCCAATTTTTTAAAATCGTATCATAACATGTCCTTTAATCTAAACATCAGAAAATACTTAGTAACCCAAAGAAAAAGAAATTAACAATCTTAAAGACAAACAAACAAACAGGAATTAACATTTGGAACGCTCGAGCCTTTAAACATGTAATTACCAAAGGCTGACATAAAGTCTCGTAACTACTGCCCGTGAACCCCTTTCGGGGGAGAAAGCATGAAGGACTGTGGCGCAATGCCAGCACCACAGTTTCGTCCCCCGTTGCAGGAGCAAGGGCAACGCCACCGGGCTTCTTGTGCCCCATTTTGTAAGCTAAAACCTTAACAGACTTGAAGCTACATAACTACAACTGTGATGTGCTTGTGACCTGTTGTGAACTCTGTTACGCCTCGACCCGTCTTTTTTAGAGGTTACATGTGTGTTTTCCGACACGTGGCATGACTCTTCTCTGGCCACGGGCTCTTGAGAAGGCTGTGCATTACTGACGCGCACTCCCCAGGCCGCTCTGTGAATGACACAACACTGGACAACCACCCTGCAAGGACAAGAGTCTGTCACTCCAGGGCTGTGTGTCACCAACAGGCCACACCAGGTGAGCCCTAGCGTTTACTGAAAGGCCGTCCCCCCTGCTATGCTCAGAGCTGTGTCCTCACCACCTTCTCACTGTAGAAATTCCCATCACTCCAACGACAGAGGAACCCCACACCTGACACTGGTCACCCCCATCCCCTCCAGGCCCCAATGCCTGGCAACCACTCGTCCAGCTTTCTGTCTCTACGGATCTGCCTCTTCTGGGTGATGTGGCCGGCGCAGCACTTTGGGGAACTGCCAAACCGCCTTCCAACACGGTTACGCCCCTTAACATGAGCTTACTGACCACACACATCTTTATGTGTAACTATGCATTCAGATGCCACACCCACTGGTTAACTGTGTCGTTTGCCTTCCACTGTAAAGCTGTAAGAGCTCTGTGTGTTATTCTGGAAACAAGTAATATCTCATTAGACATGGGATTAGCAAATGTGAGATTACAAATATTTTCCCCCACTCTAGCTTATCATTTTACTTTCCTCCTGGTATCCTCTGATGCCCGAAACCTTTTAATTTAATTTGATTTAATTTAACATAATTAATTTATTTACGTTTTTCTTTAGTCACTTGGGCTTTTGCTGTCCAAGATCCCAAAAATCTGCCTCTGTGTTTTCTTCCAGGAGTCTTACAGTTTTAGCTCTTCCACTGAGGTCTGTGGTCCACTGTGACTGGTTTTCTGGGTATGACCTGAGCGAGGGTACAACTTCGTTCCAACTTCAGTCTTTCACATCTGTCTGCCTGGCTGCCCTAGCACCATTTGCTGAGTGCACTGAACAGTCCGCTGGACGGTCTTGTAGCACCTCACCGGAAACCAATGTGTCAGTTTGGGAAGGTTATTTCTGGATTCTGTGCCGTATTCCCTGGTCCTTTCATCCAACTGCCAGTCCCACACCTTCTTGATCTCTGTGGCTTTGAAATGGGGAAGCAGGAGTCCTCTGATGTGGATCTTCTCTCCTGGGTTGCCTGGCTACTCTGGGTCTCTTGCATTTCCATATGAATTTTAGAATCTGCGTGTCAATTTCTGCCAAAAAGCCAAGATGGATATTGACAGAGATTGTACTGAATCTGCAGATCAATTTGGAGAGTGCTGCCATTGTAACAGTCGTGTCTTTCAACCCGTGAACACGGGATGACTTTTATTTATTTAGATCTTCGTGTTTTTTTTAATGTTTTATTAAGTTTCCAATATGCAATTCCAATCCTGAATTTTAGCTAAATCTATTCCTATTTCTTTTTCTTTCTGATGCTATTATAAATGGAACTGCTACCCTAATTTCATTTTCAGATGATCACTGCTGGTATACAGAAATACACAAGGTTTTTGTGTATCTATCGTGTACCCTACGACCTTACCATCTCATTTATTCCAGCATTTCTGTGTACATGGACACCCCAGATTTCCCAACATACGAGACCATGCTGCTGTGAACACAGCCAGATTTCCTTCTTTCCTTTGTATCTAGATGTCGTTTAGTTCAGGTAAGACAAGGAAAAAAATAGGAGAATCCAAAGTAGGAGATACCAAAATACTTTTTAAACAAATTTAGTGTTATCAAAAGCCTTAAAACTTACACACACTTTAACGGAACAGTTTCACTTCTGGAAACTTATCCTAAAAAAGCAAAACAAAAGAAACAAAAACAAAAATGCAAGGATCCCAGCAGCATCAAATATAAAAATCTGGAAATAGTCTGAATGTCTACAAATAGGAAATTCATGACGTACTCTTTGCTGAAATACTGTATTTCCTTAATTCAAAGATGTGGTTAGTGTCAGGTGGGAAGACAACACCACTTTAAAAACAAACTCTAAGTCACAACCCGGTTCCATTAACATGAAAAGTATGCATCCACCAAACCAAGAAATACAGTTCTAAGCAGCCATTCTCACGCAGGAGAGTATCTACTGTTACAGACCGTGTTCACGGTGTATACGTGATTTCTTCCAATTCTATTTGTGCCTGCCTCGCCCTGAGAGAGAGAACGGCTGTCAAGCTGACGTTCCTTACGGACTGGAACAGCACTGTTAACGGAGTGGCTCTGCATCCAGCAGACGCAGCGTCAACAACTGGAATGTTCTGTGTGCTACCAATTCGCTCAAGCCCTGCCTGAAATGTGTACTTTCACCCCAGACCGGTACATGTCGCCTACAAGCTCCAGATCAACCTAACTTTCACCCTGGAAACCTATGGCTTGACCACAGCACAAGTTAATTCTCCGTTCATTAAGCAATTCTAAACCACAGAACGTAGTCGCTCCTAGTGCTTCCAAGAACTCAGCAAGTGAAAATAAGCTCTTGTTTCTAAAGCAGTAGCATTAGAGAAGATCACCAAAGAGGGGCAGGTCCTCGCTCCTGAAACAGGAGTCAAGCACTCTTCCAGGAAACAGAGCCCTAGTCACAGGCAAGGACTGCACAAGGGGCTCTAGGCCACGGCCCGGATCGGAGGGTCACCGGAACACACAGCCGATGTGCAGGACCGGCAGTGACCAAGAGGTGTCGCTCCCACACCACCACGTGCGTCTCCGGCACACCTATCCCAAGAAAAGCCCCAAGCCAGGCTCCAGCACAAGGCAGATGCCGAGAAAGGCACAGCCGACACCAGCCCACCATTTCCTCCTTAACCAGTGCCGTGTCCCGCCGTGGCCTCCACCTGCAGAGTGCAGACCAACGGGGTCGTAGCTGGGTCAGAGCAGACCGGAGGCCTACGCATGTGGACAAGGAAGCGGTCCCGCAGGAGCAGCTGGACCTTCCCACGGCCTCAGCACCGACCCGGTCCACAGTGGAAGCTACAGTGGCGCCACCTCGAAAAGCCAAAAGCAAACACAAGACGGTGACGGTATTTCACAGCAAAACAACCGTATCTGTGCACCGGCCTGTCAGTCACAGTGCATGACGGGAATGTGTCACACGGCCAGTCCACGGACCGGGACGAAATCTTATACCACAAAGTGGAATTCTTTTTTCCTACTTCTCCAGATGGCCCAGGAGTCATGCGGAGTAAGTGCCAACACAAGACGTATTTTTATAAAAACAGAAAAAAATTCCGTCGATATTTTACAATCAGTTAGTAACCTTGAGGGATTATTACATGGCAGCAACTCTGCTATGTCTTTTAGATGAGTTACCCTTTAAATGCCACAAAAACCTTATGAGGTGTGCACCCGCACCTCTAGTTCACAGACAGGGAAACTGAGGCACCAGCAGCACATGTACATCCTTTTGCAAAGGTCACAGTAAACGTGCGGCTCATGTGACGCGTGTTTGTCTCTGGACAGTAGGAGGCAGGAGTCCAGGGAACCAATGTGGCTTCTCCTTTCCCTACTCCGTCCACACCTCCGACGAGCAGAGACACTCCGAAGAAAGAGTGGACAGAAGGAAGGACCGAAAATCAGAGTGCTCGCAGACTGGCCACTGGTGCAGCCTGTCCGGCCTTCCATGAGCGAAACGGCAAACAGGCCTGGGTGGAAAATCAGTACTAACCACCGCCTCCTCCACCTGAGAACCGCGTGCGCGGGGAGCTGCATTCCACCTGGTTAACTCTGATGGGAACATTACAATCCACTCTCTCACTCTGATCACACCAGCTTTCCCTCAAAGAGCTGCTGTGAAAGCTGAATGATGCAAAAGGTAATCTTCCCTCTGACACGGGGATGCAATAAAGCCACTTGTTTTCAGTTTGCTCTTCTGTTCTGGGGCAAAATATAACAGAAATTAGATCAGACTGGAGCTGGCAAATAACATCGCCCAGAGAACTTGATAAAGAAAGATGATTAAACCATCGCTGTTCTCAGAAATACCTTTGAGTTGGAGAGCAGAGCAAACGTGAAGTGCCTTGTTTAAAGTCAGTGGGCGCCAAACCTAAGAGTTCGGAGCCGCCCACAGCATGGTGCGCTGGGCTTCACTGCCAGGCTTCTGGCAAAAAGGAATCTGGAAATGCTAACTACTTCCCTTCTCTGAGCCTCCTGAGAAGGCAGGCAGAGAAAAGACATCAAAACACAGAGTGTGTGCCTAAGGACCACGCGCTAGTGCAGGCCTTTGACAGGATGCGGCCAAACACGGTGGTCAAGAGAGAGCAGGAATCGGGAGCTAGGAGAGCCCTGTTGAAGCACACCTCCTTTATTTAAAACACACACACAAGCACATACACACACATGCACACACGTAAGCACATATACACACATACATACACACACACACACATACACACACATATCTGACTTTTCAGTGTAAGAAAAAATTTTCTGGGGTGAGTTTGGATCAAGGAACCAATACACCTCAGCCTGCCTCTTGGGATTCAAAGGTGAATCTAATGCACACATCAGCTTTTTAAGATTTTTGCTACAGCAGAGGTTAAGACGTACATGAGCAGTGCAAGCACAGACACTAGGAAATCTTCGTTACTATCTGACCAAAGGCACGGACTGTGGCTGCCGACAAACCAAAGAACAGAAAGGTTTCATTAAGCAGGCCACTTCTGAGGCCCAGCGGCACAAGAGCAGGGACGCAAGAGCAGGGACACGAGAGCAGGGACACGAAAGCCCCGCCAGTCGTGTCACAAAGCAAAATGAAGCGTTACTCAAATGGGAAAAATGGGCTTTTCACCTTTCTTCGGGGCCCCTGACACCCAAGTGCAGGAGGGTAAGGGCGTCCCTTCCGCGAGCACGGCGCTAGGGGCTGACCGAGGCACTTTCGGAAGTACGACAGTTAATCCTCACACGCCAACAAGAAAAGGACAAAGCACTCCCGACGCCTCCAGCTGACAATCAAGTCAGAGGACGGAAACATCACTCGGAAGCAGAGGACAGGCACCGATGCTGGCACGCACACGCTCACTCCAGCCGTGGCCGACACAGGCGACTCTGTGAACGGCTGAACCAAAACTCCTCATCAGGAATCCACCTACGACTAATACTTTCTTTGGTCAAAAGCTACTTAAATCGCAGTTAATAGGAAAAGATGCAGAAGAAAAGCAGAAATGAATACATTTTACTTTAGATGTTTAAGGAGATCTTGTGTTCCGAGACAATCACTGCTAAAGTGAATTTCAACCCGAGATGGGAGCGATGCTGAAGCGGTCCAGGGCAACCAGGTGAAGCGGGGGTAGGAAGCAGGGCCAGATATAACACACCGACACTCCAAGTACAGCTGTGTTTTCGGGATGAGCAAGTGTTTTCCCTACGCGCTATCTGTAACGCTGCGCTGCTTTTACTGGAACCTGGGAGAGGTGAGGAGCGGCCTGTCAATGCGACTTCCAGGATGCACAAAGCCTGTGGGGTCTCCAGCTCACGAGCACGGGGAACAGCGTACCATCACACGGACCACGACAGCAAAGTCTGTAACTGTGAAAAATGAGCAGAAACGTCAAAGTCTCCTTTTCTGGAAGACGGACATACTCGGTCAGTGGAACACTTCAGAGAAGTGAAAAGTGAACGAACTGGATCGTACGTGTCATCACGGATCCATTATATAAATCACGGATCCATTATATAAATCAATGTGAAGCCAAAAAAGCATGATGCAAAAGGACATATACAGTAAGATAATCTTTATATAAATTTTTACAGCGTGCAAACAACACTGGGTTTTATTCCAGTGACACGAACATGAACAGCACAATTACTACGAGAGACGTAACAACTGAGTCTCAAATGCAGAATAGGGGTTGCCCACAGGGGAAGAAAGGAGCAAGGAAGAAAGAAACCAGTCCCCTCTGTCCTCTCTCCACAGCTGCCTGGCCTGAGCCTACTGTGACAACAGGTCTGAGCTTCCTGAGCTGCGCAACACCTACAGAGGCAGACAGCTCTCCCCCACTCAGGAGGAAACGGGAGTGCCCGCTGACCTCCCCTCCATCACAGCCCCTGTGTCCCCACGCTCTAGCCACATCCCAGTCCCCGGGCTCCCCCTGCCTGCACATCTCTCCCCTGCTGCGCGCACGGCCCAGCCACTCTGTCGTCCGGATGGCATTCGGGTGCCGCCCCTCAGAGCGGCCTTCCTCGACCACCTGTTTCAATAAGCCTGATGTCTTCCAACCTTGCTAATCTAATGAGTGGAGAGGTATTCGTTCACTCAGTGACTATGTATTTGTGCGACAAATGCAGTCACTTTCTCCGCTCAAACCCATGCTATTCGGAATCCATGTGGACGCGACAGGAGACGCTGCTTCAACTGAGCCTCTCCGCGAGGTTCCTGTCCCCTGGTGGCCCTCCCTGGCGCATCTAAGACCATCCCTGGGTGGCGGCAGGGCTGCACCAAGCACACGGATGAGCTCGGGAGCACGGTGACCACATCTCCAGTTCTGAAGGGAGCGCTTAGGTGGGGATGTGGGCACTACTCTGCCCTTTCACTCACTATGTTTTCTTGACCGGATTATGCTGGTAATCTGCCCAAAAGGAAGCAGTGCATTCTTCCAGGTGAGAGGAAGAAAGAAGGCGCACATGTTGTCTGGATAAGCTGAAAATGATTGGCAAACGGCATCAAACCAGTAAAACAGCATTATGTCTCAAGTGGCAATCCTCGATGCTAAGGGTCAGCTGCGTTTCACAGACTTTAACACCCTGAGCTGTCAGCCTGGAACCGTCTGGACTTCATCGGTGAGCTACTTCAGCCAAACGCTAAGAACTGCCTGTCCGTCAGGACGCCAAGAGCCACTGAGCAGACACCGACAGCGCCGTCTGCATGGGAGAGAGCTGGCTGGAGAGACGGACCTGGGGTCGCAGGGCACGTCTAGGATGCCCCACGGAAACCAGCCCTCACGCCCAGCAGCAAAGGCGCCTAGTGGCCTCTGGGCCAAGAACCCCGGGCAGCGCGCGGCCGTGACACTCTGGCGAGGCTGCAAACCCCCTCGTGGCAGAGCTCTGCACGATCTCGCCGCAGAAGCGCCCCAAGAAACAGCAGCAAGACCGCGCGTCTTGAGATCGGGTCGGTTTATCTGGCAACCACCTGCACTCTTACAACCAGGTATTAAATAGTTAATAATTTAGCTGAATTTCAAAAATCTGTTCTTTTACCAGAGGAGCCCAGTAGGTGTAGAGGTAGCCTATTTTCAGTGCTGGTACGAACTGGGAGCAGGATACTACCAGAAAATAGAGATTCAAGAAAAACTTGAATTGTTCATATAAAACCTAAAAAGGAAAAGAAAAAAATTAACACAATCTCTTGAAGGAAAGCCTGTAATACTTCAATTAATTAAGGCAGCACAGTATCTAACTACATCTGCCTCAAACAGTGACAACCAGCCCTGAGTGACGGTAAATTTAGTCTAACTCTGACATCAGCTTCCCAATAGCTGCATCCCATGTTTGTTAGGCCTACTCAAAGTTATATTTAAAATAAATTGAAAAAAAGACAACTAGAATTTCCAATTATGTTAACAGCATCCTCTACAAGTTTTTATTTTCTTATATACGATTTTGAGTTTTGCACACTCCTCTGTAAATCTTTGTAGATCAAAGCAAATGAGATAGCAAAACCTTCCCAATGTTACTAAGTCAATAAATATCCGTATTTATATACACAAAAATGTATCTCTTGATAACTCAGAAAATTTTATAAAGGGAAAATCATATTAACGCTGCATTTATGAAAAGGTAAAAAATGTGATAGCCAAGTCTCTGAACATGAACATCTGGGTAGCTTTAAAATAACTGAGTGAGCAAGCAAAACGTACACATTATGACTTCATAAAAACTGCCTTAATCTCCTCTATTTAACTTTTCTCGAAGCATAAAAAATGACGACATGTAAAAGCGCGTGAACTGCAGACCAATTCAGGAAAGCGCGACCTATACCCTTTATAATCTCTTGGCAGATGATCTGCAATAATATTTTCAAATACAAAATAAGTATCATTCAATAAAATTTAGGAAAGCAAATCCTGAAACTTTGTTTTTGTTTTTTAATTCAAACAGAGTTATCTTTAAGGAAGCAAACCCAAGATCTGGTATATTAATAGACTTCTACTTACAAATTCTCAAATTATTAAATTTAAATTGAAAACCAAAATGGAACAAAACGCATGTTTATAGACGGGAATAATTCAAATGGTGCACTGTAATTGCAATTAAACTTACAACCCTGCAACTTCCAAATCAAAATCTCCCTGGATGCCATTTCATATGCAACTTGGAAGGAGCAGAAATTTTAACAAGAGCAGAGCAATGGGTTAAGTACTCACGGGTGGCTTAGAGTCTGGAACCACAGTTTTTAACATAATGAAGTTTTCCACATCATCATACAGTTATTTTTGCGACTCAAAAATCAGCTGCATTGATGACACGCTTATATTCATAATCATATTCAATTGCTGTCTAAAAATGTTTTGTGTCATTTCATAAATTAATCTCAGCAGGAGAGAAAGCTCTTTTTCCTCAGTGATTTCTTTAAAATCTCAGCATAAATTATATCTATTAGCAATTCAAAAATTGCCATTTGTGCTAAAAATGGCATAGAATTCCTACTGTGCAATTATCAGATGTTTCTAAAATACTACGTTTTAGATGAAAAGCCCAATTTAAGAGGCAATCTAAGGATGAATTTGCACGGTAAGAGTCACACAGCCACACCAACAGGTACCCTCAGGACGCGGACTGTCCTGGCGGCTGTGGGGGTTCCCTCTGGTCAGAGTGGGGCTGCACTGTGGGGCTGCACACCACTGTAATCAATACTCTATTGTCTACTGAATGAACTCTGTGACCTTTAGGAAAATGCACAATGCTTCGCCGATCTGCGAGTATTTAAAATTTAAAGAAAACAGCAGCTTCATTCAATAAAGATGAGAATATTTATCTGCCTGAAAGACAGCGTACATTTTACTGTCCTGACAAAAGAGCTGTCATTTCACGATGGAGCCAGCAGTTCTGTGTGTTTTAATAAAGAGTAAATTAGATATGAAGCATTCGCCGACTCTTAGATGGTTGGGGGAGGGTGGTGAGGGGCAATATAAAATCAGCGTGATTATTTAAATTAAAACATGAAAAATAAAACAGCCCTTATTTCACATTACCAAGAGATTTTCTTGCAAAAGGGCATCAGAGCAGATAGCTAGAATATGTAAAAAAACCTTGATATAGAAATATAACCAGTACCAGCTTCTTTCTGCCTTTAGAAAGATGAATAAATTGGTCTATAAAAACAGAAATAATGTAAAAAAGAAAACAACCAAATTATTCAATCATCCTAAATACAAACTCAGCTTTGTATCTTAAGCCAAAAATATCACTGGCAACAAAAAAAGTAACAAAATATTTAAACTTCATTATTTATACTTAGCACAATACCTAATTAAAGATAACTAATGATATAACAATATAACATGGCCTGAGATTTATAATGTGAAGTAGAAAATACATTTATAAATGCTTACAGATATTTTGTTACTGAGTCATGGTTGTATAAAAAATAATTTTACTTTGATCACGAAGTTCCTTAGCAGGCTTTAAACTTAACTTTCCAACTCGCCTCCACACAAAACTTACGACTTATTTTCTGATAATTTAATTTAGGCTTACTTGATTATTTCTACAGTAATATAAATATGTTTATCTAGGACCGAAGTCAAGCTATAAATTTTCTTTCACTGAACTCCACAATGTACCCACTAAAAGTGCTCATGAATTATTTAACAACTACTGAAACATGGACAGTTCAGAAGCAAAAGGTCACTGATTTGTAGGTGACACAATTAACGGAAAAAAATATTAAAAAAAAGATCGGTGAAAACAGAAGCAGCCAGCAATCTCTCATATGAAACCCTTTCATAAAAATGTAATAGTCTTACCCCAGGTATAAAGGTAAATACATTGTATTTCTGATTTTTTATAGAGTTTCTGGGATGCTTTTCTTCACACTTTTCAGGATGCCCGAGCCACACCGTGCGCGCTTTCAGTTCTCTCTTTCTTTGACAAATACTTATCAGCCAGCCACAGCAACTGCACGAAACAAAAGACACTCATTATGTACCTTGTTTAAAATTTTTAAATTAATTCTACATATTTAGAGCCAATACTGGTTGTTTCTGTATTTACTAAATACTGACAGCACATCTAAAGCTAATCTGTAAAGTTTGTCTTAAACAGGTTATACTGATATAAATCTGACATAAAACACTGAAAGAGACTTGTATGAGTGCATAATGACTTCTAGAACCTCAGGGAAATGATCTTCCCTGTTTAGAGCTTCTTACTGACAAAACCATTAACATTCTGAAGAGTCAGTGCTCTTCTATGGGGAGAAAAGGACAGCCGTGCTGCTTGCAATTCTCAACACACCACTCAGTGATCCAATGGTAAAGGTCCTCAGACATCAAGTCACCCAGGATGTGAACCCTCTCTTTGAGGTAATCACTTTTTTCCTCTCTTAAAGATGACTATTTTAGTAATGGGTTAAGCCTCTGCCTTCAGCTCCGGTCATGGTCTCAGGGTCCTGGGATAGACCCTGGCATCGGGCTCTCTGCTCCACGGGGAGCCTGCTTCCCCCCCGCTCTCTGCCTCTCTGCCTACTTGTGATCTCTGTCTCTCTCTCTGTCAAATAAACAAAATCTTAAAAAAATAAAAAATATTAAAAATAAATAAAAATAAAATAAATAAAATTAAGACTTGGGCTCAGTTCCATACTGAGAAGGATACTGGTGTGTGCTGGGACAGGCTCGTGTGAATAAAGACTCAGCCGCACTTGCATACAAACACCTCTGGCTGGGCCATTCTGCATGTGTTCACAGGCAATCTGTCCGCGCGCCAACAGTGCCAGGGCTCAAACACTCCACGTTCTGCACATCCAACCCATTATTTTTGGATACGGAAAATAAACTTTCTTTCAAATACTTAAGAAAAATGGCAAAAAGGTATCAAAATCACGTGAACTACGTATTAAACAATGCTGAACTTGAACGTCAGCATTAACAATCTGGTTTCGCTCAGGTCTCCGAACTGCAGAGGACGACCAGAAGGGCCTACTGCGGGCGCCGGCCGACGGCTCCGTCCGCGTGCAGCCCGGGCCCGAACGGCGCCAGGAGCCGGGGCGGAGGCCGTCCTCCTCCTCTCCGGACAGCCGCGGGGGGCTGCGCGACAGCGTCGGTCCGGAGGTGCGGTTCTGGGGAACGGGGCCCACGGGGCTTCCGTCCTGAAATCACTGCGCGTCTGCACGGGGGCGCGGGCCCGCTCCGCCCGTCACGGGGACATCAGTCTTCGGCGTCCCGACTGCCCGGTGTCGCTCGCGGTGGCGTCCTCCAGTCCGAAACGGTCTGTCTGTGCTGATCGTCGGCCGGTTTCCTGGCCGCGCGGGGGCTCTTCAGTCCGCGGCCAGCAGCCGCCGCCCTCGGGTGTGCGAGTCCACGAGCGAGAGCAGCCCAGCCCGGCCCGCCGCCCCCGGAGCGCCGACAGCTCGCAGGGGAAGGTCACTTCCAGGTCCCCAGGGACGACAACCTGCGCATTAGCAACGCCGAGTGACCGCCGGGGCAGCATCCCGCCTTCGGTGCCCCCGTTTGGGGGTGGGGGGGGGAATATTTCAGGAAAACATCAGGGACGCGCGACCATGTTCCCGCCCGAGCGGGACAAAAGTTAAGGCTTCAAACAGACAAGGACACACTCCGAATCCCCTCGGTCCGTCTCAAGCATCTCCAAGCTCACCCTGGCACACAAGCGTACCTGCCTGTGCTGCCTGATAAAGCGCCCCCGCTGCACATGACCATTTTAATATGAATTTACACGAAGTGAGATAAACAGTCCAGTCCCTCCGTCACATTAGCCTCATTTCAATAGATCAACAGCCACCGTGGCCATCGGCTACCACAGTGGACATCCCAGATCTAGAGCATTCTCATCGTCACAGGGAGGGTCCGTGGGCAGGGCTGGGCCGCATGGAGCACAGGGCAGTGGGTACAGCACGGGAGACACAAGCCTGCAGCGCTGCAGTCACAGCAAAGACCCTCCAGCGACGTATCCAAGTTCGAGTTCTTGTTCTGAAACATTTAACTGCCTAATGCGACAGTTTAACGTAAGAAAGTCAGACAGAGCTAAGACAAAACGGAAGGCAGGCAAAATTAAGTGTGTGAAAAATAAATATAAAATGTAGGAAATGCAGATTTTACCAACTTTATGGCAAAAGGCTCCATAAATGCACAACCGCTCTGGGCGTCCAAGGAACGCGGCAGACAACCCTCACCCACGCCACCGCGGGCGGGCCTGAACCTGGCGACCAGCTAAGTTCCAAAGCCTTCCCCTCTATAAACTATACATTAAATACCAAGGGCTAAAAACATACACAACTCAACTGTTTATTAATTTTTTTCTCTATAACTCCGTAGAGAAAAACAAAAACAAACAAAAAAAAAACACCAAGATTCCTAGACATCCGAGATGTAACTATTTCCAACACTTCGCTACTAAGAACTATCAAGGAACAAGTGTTATTACTAATTATTTCCTTATGCAAGCACAGAAGCAAGTCGTCACATGCTGTTTCACAAAATTAAATGAACACAGGGCTTGAGGGTTTACCAGCCTGGAGCGCCACCAGAATCGCCACTGGATGGTGCAGACAGGACACAGGGCCCGAAAGGAAGATAGGTGCCTTGAATGCCAAGAGCAAAGGACATAAACACCGAACATTTAAAACAAACAAAACAAAACCTGTAACCCCAAAGAGTGAGCTTTACGGAGCTATAGAGCTAAGCAGGAAAATAAAATTACGGGCCATTTTTTAGTAAAACATACTGGTAAACACTGGTACTGAGCAAGCGAACTTTAGAGGAGCAGAGAGTAACCAGGAGCCGCAGCAGCTCACCATCCCACGCAGGCAGAGCGCCTTCTAAATGCGGATCACCCAGGGGACACCCCCCATCCCAACACCCACGACAAAGCAACACTAAATCCAATACTGAACAAAGTATATCCTGCCTTCCCACATGGCAGGATTAGAAGCTTTCCACAAATGCTTCTATAATCAGAATAATACTCTATACTGAATAAAGTATCTTTAATATACCAAGATCCGTCTCCTAGAACTTCAGCCATAGTTATACAACTCCCAAAGTTTAGAAAGCCTTCTTTGAAAAGCGACCCAACTTAGACACTCTGGATATCCAACAGGTGCCCACAGTTACCCAGAGCAGCACAGCCCAGCGTCTCCTTAAAACATCGTCTCCCTATGGTCTGCGCCGCCAACGTGCTGCAGGTTCCTGGAAAGTGTAGAGACCACGAAGAACAGGAGTCATCCCGGCATCTGACATCCCCCCTCCCCTGACCCACCCATACAACCCCCTGCTCCTATGAACACGGCCTTGGTGGCTCCACTTTCCCAAGGGAAAGAGCGACTGTTGGTAAGGAGTGAAACGGAAGGCTCACGAGAAAGACCTCACCCCCAGCCCCAGAGAGCCAGCGCACCCGCGTGCTTCGCCGTGACTCACAGGAATGACAAAGTTCTGGAGGGCAGATGATGGAAAAGTTTTTTCAATGTGGCAGAGCTGGAATTTTTACCAAGTAATAAAAATGAGAAAGCAGTTTTTAAGCCATTAAGAAATTAAAGCCTACTCAGTTGCTGAAATTAGGAAGAATAATTATAAAATAAGCCTTAGTAGTCAGAGGGTCTGCAAATAGAAATACATTGAAATATTTACAACTTAGTATTGTTATTTGCCACCTACCTTTATTGCAATATTCACCCACATTTCCCCCTGCAATTAAACTAAGTAATTTTACGTATCTTCTACTTGTTGATCCAACATCTAATAACGTTACAGTAAACACTGAATTTTATAATGCCTAACATTTAGGGAATAAAAAAGTAGAAAATACTCAAAAATGAAAATGTATAAGAAATTAAGAAAATAAAGCTAATCTAAGTTGTTAGATGTACAAAGTTGCTGTGTTTTTAGGTGCAGTTTTAAATTTGAACAATTCCTCAGTACGGCAGATATCACCGACCAGGAAGAGCACGACGGTATCTTGGGCCATTTCTCGTCCCGTATGGCAAAAAAGACACATGTTAGCGCCACACAGAGTGATCAGAACGTGCCAACATGGTTCAGTTAGCTTTTTCTACACGATCACCACTTATGGAGACAGACTTTATATACACATTTATTATATTTTATTGCTTAATCTCCTCAAAACGGTGTTTTTGCTAGCGTCTACATTTGCAAATATATTCTTCATGTTTTCCTTAAAAGAAAAAAATAATATATTAGAAACAAAATCCAAACTTTGGCTATGTTCCATTTAGTAGGAACAAAGTGCTGTAAAAGACCAAAAATAATTAATTCAGGAACAGGGGCGCCTGCTTGGCCCAGCTGGAAGCGCATGTGACTCTTGATCCCAGGGTTGTGAGTTCAAGACTCACGCTGGGTGCAGAGATCGTCTAAATAAATAAAACTTCTCCAGAAGCTAATTCAGCGGCGTGTTCAACACCGGGAAAAGACTCCACACGCGGCAAGTCCGGAGTTCTGGGCATCACTGGGCAGCAGGCTAAGTACCAGTGCCCCAGCGCGTAAGGCCGTCCCGGAGTCCCCCCGTCACCAGGCAAACGGGCCGCGTCCTCACGGTCTGCGCCGCCAGCGCCGCCCCCGCGCCCGCGCTGTCAGCCGCTCTGACGGCCCCGCTCTCAGCGCCGGGTGGTGCTGCCCGCGCGACGTGCGAGTTCTCGGACTTCCGACTCCAGCCGGCCTCGCGCCGGGTCCGCCTTAGGATGGGAGGCCGGCCTTGACCCACTAAAAGACGCCAGTCAGGATCAGCCTTATTTAGGGGCGCCCGGGGGGCTCAGGTCACGGTCCCAGGGTCCTGGGATCGGCCCCGCACCGGGCTCCCTGCTCAGCGGGAAGCCTGCCGCGCCCCCTGCTGTGCTCTCCGTCAAATAAATAAAACTCTTTGAAGAAAAAGACAGAAAGGACCGGTCTTACTTGGAGCACAACATCCTCACCCTAGCACCCGTCCCGTCC